GTGAGACACAGGTGAGGAACAGGTGAGGAACAGGTGAGACACAGGTGAGGAACTGGTGAGGAACAGGTGAGACACAGGTGAGACACAGGTGAGGAACAGGTGAGGAACAGGTGAGACACAGGTGAGACACAGGTGAGGAACAGGTGAGGGACAGGTGAGGGACAGGTGAGGAAAAGGTGAGGGACAGGTGAGGGACAGGTTTTTTTTGTGTCACTTTGACCTCTGACCTCGTGTTTTTCGGGCAGCAGTTTGATCAGCTGTTTCAGGGACTCCACATCAAATCTGGACCTGTCTCCTCTCCGGATCAGAGACACAAAGTCATCATGGGAACTAAGAGAGAGGGACAGATGGGGGGCGAGTGAGACAGGTGAAGGACAGGTGAGGGACAGGTGAGACATCAACAGAGACATCAAAGGGAAGATCACCATCTGAACTGCTTCAGGAAGATGTTCAGGTTGAGGCACTTCTTGCCGTCGATGAACGAAATCTGAGGACAAAGGAAGTGGTTCACTGAGTGGACTTGTTTGACTTCAGACTGATCAAAGGACAGTGTTAGAGGAAGAACTACTGGACCTCTTTGGTCTCGGTCTTGGCTTTGATTCTGGTCTTAGTCTCAGTTGCAGGAAGACTGAAGAGCTGTTCGATGCTGCAGTAATCAGGTTCCACCAAATCTGAGGATGCCGAAGTCCACATGGACTGCTGAGCTGCAGAGACGGACATGGAAACATTTAGATCACAAATCTGAGTCAGACCTGGACCTGGACCGGCCTGGCCTAAACTGGGGGGGACTAAATTAGTGAAAAAAAACAAAACAAGTTAGAAGCTCACTGACCCGTCAGCGCTCTGGACGGGAGCTTCTGCCAGTTCAGCTTCTTCATACGGAGGGTCGGGGAGGGGGCGGGGCTGTAATGCATACTGCCAAAACCCTGAGCTCCAATCGGAGGTGGAGGAGGACCAGGTAAGGGTGGATGACCTGGTAATCCAGGTAAGGGTGGAGGAGGAGGAGGACCTGCTAATCCAGGTAAGGGAGGACCTGGTAATCCAGATAAGGGGGGAGGACCTGGTAATCCAGGTAAGGGTGGAGGAGGAGGAGGACCTGCTAATCCAGGTAAGGGGGGAGGACCTGGTAATCCAGATAAGGGGGGAGGACCTGGTAATCCAGGTAAGGGTGGAGGAGGTGGATGGAGTTGAGGTATCATTCCAGATAAGAGGGGTGGAGATGGCCCTCTAGTTAAGGTAGGATGAGCTCTTGTACCAGGTAAGTATAATCGGCGAGGATGGAGAGGAGGGGTGGGTGAGGCAGATCGGCATGAGGAGGCTTCTTCAACAAGTTGCTCAGATTGCCAAAGTGGACTTCCCGGGAGTTGAGTCTGTATTGCCCTGTCGATGGTTTGGATCCTGCAATTGGCTGAGAGGGACTTTTGGGGGAGGAGCCTCTCCAGCAGACAGTCTGCAGACTCTAAGTCAGCTGCAAACACAGGTTCTCAAATATAAGACTGTTAGAGATGAACCTTTATATGATCAGACCTGTTAATTATTAACCCTCTTGCATGAGGGTTAAACTATAAAGCAGTTTAACAAGACACTAGCTAAGACTGTATAATTATACCTTCTTACTTCATTCTGGGATTGTGTAGAGAGACTTACAGTCCTGGGACAGCAGGGAGGCCCGGTCAGCCAGCCGCTCCAGAGCTGACCACACCTCTGCTTCGTCTGGGTCCACCAACAGCAACGCCTGAAGGATGGACAGCAGCTGTACCGAGGACGGTCTGCTGGACACCTGTACAGGCGGTGACAGGTAGACTGAGAGATGACAGAGCGACTTACGCTATGGAACAATCTCCAGCATTGAAGGAATAGGTGTTTTGGATGTACACGTTTCGAGGGGAGTGTCCTTGGGAAGAAGTTTTTAAGGTGATCTGTGACCTTTAGTTTGGGCGGTTGTGGCTCAGCTCAGATGTGTCGATCCACAGCTCTTCATGTCACATGTGGAAGTGTCCTTGGGCAAGATACCTAACCCCAAATTCTTCTTGCTGCTACAAGTTTGGGTTATTTACAAGGGTATTCTCGGTCTGCTTCCATCCTACCTACAGAGCTACATACTTAAAACAAGTAGTTACCATCTTCACTCGCAGGATTTACACCTTCTAACCATCCCTAAAGCCTGTACCGAATTAGGAAAAAGGGCGTTCAAGTATGCTGCTCCCTCTTCTTGGAATCGGTTGCAAGATACTTTAAATTTTCGGGAGCTGGTTTCCTTGAATGTTTTTAAAGGTCGTCTTAATGATCTAACTGTAGATGTTTGAGCTAACTCGTATTGCCCTTTTTGATCACTTTGTTGCTGATGACTTATGACAGATTCTGATGAATGGTTCTTTTTGTGATTCCTGTATGTTCATTGTTGTTAAGTGTTTTATGTCTGAAACCCTGTAACTGTGCTGCTGTCTGTCTTGGCCAGGACACTCTTGTAAAATAGATTCTTAATCTCAATGAGACTTTTTCCTGGTTAAATAAAAATAAATAAACATTAGAGGTGTGAATGTGTATGAAGAGGATTCTTTTCTACTGATGGACACTTGAGGGAATCTGACCTGCTGTGTGAAAGTGATTTAAGTAGCCTAGAAGACCAAAACATATATACAAGCTCTCAAGTCAATTTACCGTTTACTTTATTTGGGGGTATTCTACATAAATGTTTAAATTTGAGGTGTTTTAGATGGAGGTGTATGCATTGGGTTTTGGGTAATGGTGATAATGGTAAGATGTGTTTTGGGTAATAATGATAATTGCAGGATGGGTTTTGGGTAATGGTGATAATGGTAAGATGTGTTTTGGGTAATAATGATAATTGCAGGATGGGTTTTGGGTAATGATGATAATGGCAGGATGGGTTTTGGGTAATGATGATAATGGCAGGATGGGTTTTGGGTAATGGTGATAATGGTAAGATGTGTTTTGGGTAATAATGATAATTGCAGGATGGGTTTTGGGTAATGATGATAATGGCAGGATGGGTTTTGGGTAATGATGATAATGGCAGGATGGGTTTTGGGTAATGATGATAATGGCAGGATGGGTTTTGGGTAATGATGATAATGGCAGGATGAGGGGATCTGTGTGCCAGTTGAGTTGCTTTGGATGGAGATCTTTTCGATGGGGCAGACGTGGGCTTTTAAGGTGGAGTTGTTTTGATGGATGTGCATTGCATGGAGATGTTTTTGATAATGCTGTCTTGGTTGAGGTTTTTAACAAGTTTGTGGAGGTGTTTCAGGTGTTTTTTGGAGGGTGGATGTTTTTTTAGTAGCGGTGATCTGGTTGGAAAAGTATAAGGTGGAGGTATCTGGATCTTGGAGTTTTTTGGTGAGGGTTGTTTCGGGTGGAGATGAAGTTCTTTGTTGGGAGGGAGGCGGTGTCACAAAGGTGCAGAAGAGAGTATTACCTTGGTGAAGAGCAAGCTGAAGACCTGCTGGTGGCTGCTCATATCAATGCCTCCGTACAGTCGCTCCATCTTGTCCTCATCCTGCGTCAGAGAGTCCTCGAACGCATCACACTGGACGTTCAGGTCCTGGTCCTCTATTTCCCTGGAGACAGAGACACACCTTCAGTCCGGCCAGTTGGTTCTCTATTACAGGCTTGACATCAAAGTTTTCTTCTTCTGGTCCAGATGTGAACGAGGGTCAACAGTCTGCTCTACCAAGTTAAAGTTTTTTATAATGTATAAAATGCAAATTATGTATAAAGTTTGAGTAAAGATGGGTTTTATGAGATGGTGAAAGTATTGTTCAGCTATCAGTGTTGAAATTGTTGACTTTATATAAATATGGACAATGCATCTTTGTAGAAAAGTGAAACCTAAATCTCGGTGATTAGGTTTTAAGCAGAATCCTTTTTTGGGGCGGTTGGACGTATAAGGTTTTTTGGTTGTTTTCAGAGGTGTGGCTGTTTTAGGATTTCAACTTTTATTTAGGTGGAGGTGTTTTGTATGGAAGTGCTTTGATTAGGGATGTTTTGGCCGGAGACATTCTGAGTTGGGGTGTTTTTGGTGGAGGTGATTGGGTGAGGGTGCTGGATATTTTCCAGGTAGAGGTAGTTTTGGCAGAGCTGTGTTGGCAGTATAGTTTCCAGTTTCCCTTTTCTTCAGGGCGGCAGTAGCTCAGACTATAGGGACCTGGGATAGGAACCAAAGGGTTGCTGGTTCAAGTAGAGATGCGGACCAAGTCTGGAAATTGGTCTGGTAGCTAGAGAGGGGCCAGTTCTCTTCCTGAGCACTGCAGAGGTGCCTGTGGGAGCTGTCATGTCATCCATAAATGTATATATAAAGTCTGTAGTGGAAATCACACTATGGTTGTCTGAGAATTTGGAAAATACCCACCAGCTGAGTGGATTTACTGGTTTTAAGGTTTTAAGTTACTGGATTCAGGACCCGGTCCATCAGGCTGAATAATTTCATTGTTAAAGTCAAAATCAGTACCTCAGTCTGGGAAGTTGATCCAGCAGCTGCAGTCCTGAAACACAGTTTATAAGAGAAAGTCTGAAAACTTTAACTTTTTCTACAATCTCTAACTTAAACAGAAAACACCCTCGACCCCCTCAATCCAACATGACCTCCATGTTTTCACCACCAGAAGGAGCAGCAGGCTTTTGGGAATTTGGGGATTAACCCAGAAACCACTTACTAATGGCATGAAAACCAACAACAAAACCATTGCAATCATGTTTAATGAGCTGGCAACCACCTGGAACTCTGCAGAAACATCCTGTTACCTTTTTTAAATAAATACATTCAATCACATATTACACGTTGATTCTTATACTCTGTGATGAACACAAACTTCATCCATATTCTTTGTGTATTAAGAATCAAGTCAAAGCTGAACAGTTTGCAGAAAACTGACTTTGGGATCTTCCTCAAGTATATTTACCATTTCCTCCTCTTCCAGTCCTAACCTGGATGACTGAGATCCAACACATTCTCTCTGGTCAGGTCTTTTTTCTCTCTCAGCTATAAAACCGTTAATCTTCCCATCAGGTAAGTAATGTTTGATATCTGTCTTCTAGTCAGTACTGTCAGTGATACCAGTGAAGCGTTGACGATCTGTCGTACCTATAAACTCCCGTCGCACTTGGTCCCGCCTCCTGAGGTCGTCTTGACCCAACACGAGCACGTTAACGACGCTCATCAGTGTCACCGTGTACGGGGTGTTATTGGTGCCATGAAGCTCGTTCATGATCACACTGAAGCGATACTGCTGCTTCTTCAGAGACTGGAGCCCAAACACAGGATGTTCAAACAAACACCAACACATTCATCGTCAAAATGAATGTGGACAGGTGTGGAGACAGGTGTGGAGACAGGTGTGGTGACAGGTGTGGTGACAGGTGTGGAGACAGGTGTGGAGACAGGTGTGGAGACAGGTTTGAGGACATACAGTACGTGGAGACAGGTGTGGAGACAGGTGTGGTGACAGGTTTGAGGACATACAGTACGTGGAGACAGGTGTGGAGACAGGTGTGGTGACAGGTGTGGAGACAGGTGTGGTGACAGGTTTGAGGACATACAGTACGTGGAGACAGGTGTGGAGACAGGTTTGAGGACATACACTTTGTGGTGACAGGTGTGGAGACAGGTGTGGTGACAGGTGTGGTGACAGGTGTGGAGACACTTTTGAGGACATACAGTACGTGGTGACAGGTGTGGAGACAGGTGTGGTGACAGGTGTGGAGACAGGTTTGAGGACATACAGTACATGGAGACAGGTGTGGAGACAGGTGTGGTGACAGGTGTGGAGACAGGTGTGGAGACAGGTGTGGAGACAGGTTTGAGGACATACAGTACATGTAGACAGGTGTGGAGACAGGTGTGGTGACAGGTGTGGTGACAGGTGTGGAGACAGGTGTGGAGACAGGTGTGGTGACAGGTTTGAGGACATACAGTACGTGGAGACAGGTGTGGAGACAGGTTTGAGGACATACAGTATGTGGTGGCAGGTGTGGAGACAGGTGTGGTGACAGGTGTGGTGACAGGTTTGAGGACTTACAGTATGTGGTGGCAGGTGTGGAGACAGGTGTGGTGACAGGTGTAGAGACAGGTTTGAGGACATACAGTACATAGAGACAGGTGTGGTGACAGGTGTGGTGACAGGTTTGAGGACATACAGTATGTGGTGGCAGGTGTGGAGACAGGTGTGGTGACAGGTGTGGTGACAGGTTTGAGGACATACAGTACGTGGAGACAGGTGTGGAGACAGGTGAGGTGACAGGTGTAGAGACAGGTTTGAGGACATACAGTACATAGAGACAGGTGTGGAGACAGGTGTGGAGACAGGTGTGGTGACAGGTGTGGAGACAGGTGTGGTGACAGGTGTGGAGACAGGTTTGAGGACATACAGTACGTGGAGACGGGTGTAGAAACAGGTGTGGTGACAGGTGTGGAGACAGGTGTATAAACAGGTGTGGTGACAGGTGTGGAGACATGTGTGGTGACAGGTTTGAGGACATACAGTATGTGGAGACAGGTGTGGTGACAGGTGTAGAGACAGTTTTGTTACCCTGTAGTGGTCCAGAGCGTCCAGGACCAGGTGATGCCCCTGAGGTTCAAACAGGGTGAGAGCAGCCAGCAGCTCAAACACCTGCATCTTCACCATGACGTTGGATGTATCCAGAGCTGGGGACACAGGGACAGGTGATGTGATTCTCAGCAGCCAATAGGAAGACAGGGAAATTAGACAGACTAGGTCTAGGATGGCAGAATGAGACAACATGGGACAGAACGACACTGACTGGACGAGACAGACAAAAGAATGTGAGCCCACCCTGGGTCAGGGTCCTGATGTAACCGGAGTGGTGCAGGATAAAGTCCAGTCCTGTGGATGAGTTCATGACTGCTCGGATGCAGGAGACACAGGTGAGCTGCAGCAGAGCGTCTGCGATGCGAGCATTGCCGCGACCTGACAGTCGCTCCAACGCCTCCATCAGCAGGTCTAGACCCTGCAGCTCCAGGAAATGTTCCATCCAGGAGCAATTACTGTCCTCCAACCGCCGCCGCAAACCAGAGTAGTTCACCACCGAGGGGACCTGAAGAGGTCAAGGAGTGTTCAAAGACAGGAAGAGGACCAGCAGCACCTACAAGTTTATATTTAACTGTTAGTCCTGTTTTATAAGAGTCTGTGACAGTATGTGATAGACTTTGCCAGTCTAGGTTGGTCTGCAACAGTCTGTGACAGTCTATGGTAGTCTAAGGCAGTCTATAGTAGTCTGTGACAGTCCAGGTTGGTCTATGGTAGTCTGTAACAGTCTATGGTAGTCTGTGACAGTCTTGGTAGTCTGTGTCAGTCTATGGTAGTCTGTGACAGTCTATGGTAACCTATGGTAGTCTGTCAAAGTCAAAGTCAAAGTCAACTTTATTGTCAATTTCAAAATATGCCAGACATACAGTGGAATCGAAATTCTGTTTGTCTCCGTCCCGCGGTGCAATACAACCAAAATAAGGTAAAAAAGAGATAAGGTAAAATAGATAAATTAAAATGAGGTAAAAATAAGATAAATAATATTTACAGTAATAAATTCTAAATTGTGCAAAAGGTACAAAATCGTAAATAAAATAAATACAATTAAATAAAATTTAAAGAAAAAGTAAACTTGGGCAATATGTGCAATGTGCAGTAAACTGAGTGTACTTTTGAATAGTTAGCTTCAGAGTTATTAGTCCAGAGTTCTTGGTTCTTGGTAGCAAACGAGGGGCAGAGGGGAGGGAAGGAAGAGAGGGGAGAGAGTTAAGCTTCCTGACAGCTTGGTGGAAGAAGCTGTTTCCCAGTCTGGTGGAGCCGGCCCGCAGGCTGCGGTACCGTCTCCCCGATGGCAGGAGGCTGAAGAGGCTGTGTGAGGGGTGGGTGGGGTCACGCACAATGCTGGTTGCTTTGCGGGTGAGGCGGGTACCGTAGAGGTCCAGAAGAGAGGGGAGTGGGACACCGACAATCCATTCAGCAGCCTTCACTGTGCGCTGCAGGGTCTTGCGGTTGGCAGCAGTGCAGCTCACACACAGTGATGCAGCTGGTCAGGATGCTCTCGATGGTGCCTCTGTAGAAGGAGCACATGATGGATGGGGGGGCTCGTGCTCTCTTCAGCTTGCGGAGGAAGTAGAGGCGCTGCTGGGACTTCTTGGCCAGTGATGTGGTGTTGGTTGTCCAGGAGAGATCCTCACTGATGTGAACCCCCAGGAACTTGGTGCTGCTCACTCTCTCCACAGCAGCACCGTCGATGGTCAGTGGGGGTTTAGGAGTGGGGACTCTCCGGAAGTCGACAACAACCTCCTTGGTCTTGTCGACGTTCAGGAAGAGGTTGTTGTCTCTGCACCACGTGGCCAGTTGGCTGACCTCCATCCTGTAGTGCGTCTCATCGTTGTTGGAGATGAAACCAACCACTGTTGTGTCGTCCGCAAACTTCACAATGTGGTTGCTGCTGAAGGATGGAGCGCAGTCGTAGGTCAGCAGCGTGAAGAGCAGGGGGCTGAGCACACAACCCTGGGGGGCCCCAGTGCTCATGATGATGGTTTTTGATGTGCTGCCGCCGACCTGCACTGTCTGAGGCCTCTCGCTGAGGAAGTCCAGCAGCCAGTTGCACAGGGAAGTGCTGAGCCCCAGCTGGTCCAGCTTGCTGATCAGCTGCTGAGGGATGATGGTGTTGAATGCTGAACTGAAGTCTATGAACAGCATTCTGACGTATGAGTTTTTGGTGTCCAGGTGGGTGATGGCTGGGTGAAGAGCAGAACAGATGGCATCCTCGGTGGATCTGTTACCTCGGTATGCAAACTGGTAGGGGTCCAGGGTGGCGGGGAGGGTGGATTTGATGTGGGCCATGACTAACCTTTCAAAGCACCTCATGGCGATGGGGGTCAGTGCAACGGGTCGATAGTCATTGAAAGTGGATGGTGGCTTCTTTGGAACGGGTATGATGGTGGTGGCTTTGAAGCACGACGGAACAACAGTCTGACTCAGAGAAGCGTTAAAAATGTTTGTGAAGACATCTTTGAGCTCCTCTGCACAGTCCTTCAGCACACGGCCAGGAATGTTGTCTGGACCTGCAGCCTTGTGGGTGTTGATCTTGGAGAAGATCTTCACGCTGGCTGCAGTCAGGCACAGGGTCTGGTCGTGGGGAGGGGGGGTGGTCTTCTGTGGGGGCGTGCTGTTGTGTGCTTCAAACCTGGCAAAGAAGCTGTTGAGGTCGTTCAGCAGAGAGGTGTTGCTGTCACAGGTCTGTGGCTTGGGTTTGTAGTCTGTGATGGTCTGGATACCACGCCACAGGCTCCGCGCGTCTCTGCTGTCCTTGAAGTGTCCGGTTATTTTTAGTGTGTAGCTGCGTTTGGCTTCCCTGATGCCACGGGACAGGTCGGCTCTCGCTGTTCTCAGGCAGGCTGCGTCCCCAGCTCTGAAGGCGGTGTTCCTGGCCCTCAGTAGCCCGCGTACCTCTCCTGTCAGCCATGGCTTCTGGTTAGCCCGGGTGGTGATGGTTCTGGTGGTGGTGACATCAGCAGTGCATTTGCTAATGTAGGAGGTAACAGTGTCAGAATACTCCTCAATGTCTGTGTGGTTGTTGTAGGTGGCTGCCTGCTTAAACATCTCCCAGTCTGTGGTGTCAAAGCAGTCTTGTAGTGCAGCAGAGGCCCCCTCTGGCCACACACATACCTGCTTCAGAACTGGTTTGGTGACTTTAACCCTGGGTCTGTAAGCTGGCATTAGCATTACACTGATATGGTCAGAGTGGCAGATGTGGGGGAGGGGTGAAGCTTTGTAAGCACCTTTAACTGATGTGTAAATCATATCCAGAATGTTACCTTCTCTTGTGGGAAAGGTCACGTGTTTGTGGAAGTGGGGTAAAACCGTCTTGAGATTTGCATGATTAAAATCCCCAGCGATGATGAAAAATCCGTCTGTGTGGGCTGTCTGTTGCTCACTGATGGCGTTGTAAAGTTCCCAAAGTGCGTCGATTCTATCAGCGTTGTTGGTGGTGGGGGGAATATACACAGTGACCAGCAGGGTCGCTGTTATCTCTCTCGGTTGATAGAAAGGACGGCACTTAATGATCATAAACTCTGCCAGCGGTGAACAGTGTTTACATACCACAGCAGCATCTCGACACCAAGCATCACTGATGTAAACACGGACTGGTAGACTACCATAGACTGTCACAGACTATGGACAGTCTATGGTAGTCTGTGACAGTCTATGGTAGTCTGTATCAGTCTATGGTAGTCTGTGACAGTCTATGGTAGTCTGTGACAGTCTATGGTAGTCTGTGACAGTCTTTGGTAGTCTGTGACAGTCTATGGTAGTCTGTGACAGTCCATGGTAGCCTATGGTAGTCTGTGACAGTCTATGATAGTCTGTGACAGTCTATATTAATCTGTGACAGTCTATGGTAGTCTGTGACAGTCTATGGTAGTCTGTGTCAGTCTGTGACAGTCTATAGTAGTCTGTGACAGTCTATGGTAGTCTGTGACAGTCTATGGTAGTCTATGTCAGTCTGTGTCAGTCTATGGTAGTCTGTGACAGTTTATGGTAGTCTGTGTCAGTCTATGGTAGTCTGTGACAGTGTTTGGTAGTCTGTGTCAGTCTATGGTAGTCTGTGACAGTCTATGGTAGTCTGTGACAGTCTATGGTAGTCTGTGATAGTCTTTGGTAGTCTGTGACAGTCTATGATAGTCTGTGACAGTCTATGGTAGTCTGTATCAGTCTATGGTAGTCTGTGACAGTCTATGTTAGTCTGTGACAGTCTTTGGTAGTCTGTGACAGTCTATGGTAGTCTGTGACAGTCTATGTTAGTCTGTGACAGTCTTTGGTAGTCTGTGACAGTCTATGATAGTCTGTGACAGTCTATATTAAACTGTGACAGTCTATGGTAGTCTGTGACAGTCTTTGGTAGTCTGTATCAGTCTATGGTAGTCTGTGACAGTCTATGTTAGTCTGTGACAGTCTTTGGTAGTCTGTATCAGTCTATGGTAGTCTGTGACAGTCTATGTTAGTCTGTGACAGTCTTTGTTAGTCTGTGACAGTCTATGATAGTCTGTGACAGTCTATATTAAACTGTGACAGTCTATGGTAGTCTGTGACAGTCTATGGTAGTCTGTATCAGTCTATGGTAGTCTGTGACAGTCTATGGTAGTCTGTGACAGTCTATGTTAGTCTGTGACAGTCTTTGGTAGTCTGTGACAGTCTATAGTAGTCTGTGACAGTCTATGGTAGTCTGTGACAGTCCATGGTAGCCTATGGTAGTCTGTGACAGTCTATGATAGTCTGTGACAGTCTATATTAATCTGTGACAGTCTATGGTAGTCTGTGACAGTGTTTGGTAGTCTGTGTCAGTCTATAGTAGTCTGTGAGAGTCTATGGTAGTCTATGGTAGTCTGTGACAGTGTTTGGTAGTCTGTGTCAGTCTATAGTAGTCTGTGTCAGTCTATGGTAGTCTGTGACAGTCTATGGTAGTCTGTGACAGTCTATGGTAGTTTGTGACAGTCTATGGTAGTCTGTGACAGTCTATGGTAGTCTGTGACAGTCTATGGTAGTCTGTGATAGTCTTTAGTAGTCTGTGACAGTCTATGGTAGTTTGTGACAGTCTCACCTTTAGCAGTCTGATGCAGAGCTCTGGGTCAGCGTTCTCCAGATTTGCTTCCTGTTTGGCGTCTGGGTCCGTGGCAGGTAGTCCTGTCACATGACCCTTCACTGCCAGCCATTTGGCTCTGGTTGTCATGGTGACGAGGAGCTGTTAAAGATGAAATAGGAACACTGTGTTTTTTTTAATACTTAGTTAATTTAAATGTCGTCATTTTAATGTTTCCATTCTACCATTGAGTCTCAAACTGAAGACTGACTCCTCACAGACCACCCCGTCTTAACATTTATCTTCTCTTTGTGTTTTTTACTTGACTTCATGAACTTTTCTTCCCCTGTAGCTGCAGACTGAGACGCATAAAACCACAGAAGAAATGTGGAGTATTTGTGTCAGCAGATAAGAAATGTTTCAGAATGGAGACTCATTGTCCTGTGACTGTGTGTGTGTGTGTGTGTGTGTGTGTGTGTGTGTGTGTGTGTGTGTGTGTGTGTGTGTGTGTCGCTCTATGAATGAGTCTTTATCTTCAGTTTGTTTGTATTTAAACTTTTTTTTCCTGCTGGTTTAAATCTTTATTTAAAACACTGACAGCAGCAGATGTTAAGATTCAAAGAGTTTTAAGTTTATATATTTGTCGTCATTTTAAGAAATTTCAAACGTGGTTTTCAAATAAATTAGAATAAGAACTTTTAATTTACCATCACAGAGACAGAAATAAAACAGAAAACCATAAGAAATCAGACTGATTAATAAACGATAACAACGTAAATTGGAATTACTTTTAAAAGCTGACATGCTGTTTTAATAATTTAAATAATGGTACAATAACTGTTCTACCTCTTCTGAGGACTGTATCATTAAATTCTTCTGATATTAAATATTTGTATGCATTATAAATATTATTTACATAGAAAACATGAGATGTTTTTAACGATCTCCTGAGCAGATTGGGCCACTTTACTAGTTTCATGGAGTTATTCTTCAGGAACTTTGAAATCCTCATTGAGGTAAACTTGATCACCTTCTTCATTTTACATGTCATATTATATTCTGTGTCTCTTTAACAGTCTGTAGATATAATTGTTGTCTCTGCATTCTTAACTTCACAGAGGTTGACCCACCCTGCTGATCCCAGCACCAGACCTCCTTTAAAACTTACTGACTTTAGTTGTTTTTCACTTCAGCACAAATTTACTCAAAGTACAACAAAACTTTAGCTACTGTCGAATTAAAAACAGCATCCCGGTGAATTCGGCATGAAAAGGTGTCATGAAAGAGGGCTTCATTTCCGGAAGAGTCTGTTGTTTTCATATAAACTAAACACACACTAACTCAGCGGTGCGTCCCGTGTTCACAGCAGCTTTAGGAGTGTATTAAAATCTAAGTGAGAGTGTGTGACCAACAGAGGACATGCCGAATGACAGCAGGGACAAGAAGGATTCAGTGAGAGTTTCTGTTTGATTAAACTGAGAAGAAGAAGTCTCCAAAAGACTTGAAGTTTTCAAATTAATCGTTTTTCCAATGAGATTCAGCATAGACACGATTCATCTCCATAGCAGAGTTAAAACGTTTTAATTGAGTGTAAACTGTTCGGAGATGGTTTCAGGTTAAATCCCATTTAAAGTCTCACTAAAGATTAACGCGGGTTCTTCCCACGGGCCGTATGAAAGGGTCTTACCTGACAGGAGTTACTGGAACTCTGTCTCTGCGTGAAGCCCGATCCTCTAACACGTCCGCGAGACGTGGGCGGGGCCAGAGGTCATATCTATGCGCATGTGCGTTCTGTTCATCCAAACTGTTAACCCGGGATAACTGTCGCTTTACTCATGATGTTAACCCGGGATAACTGTTGCTTTCTCAAGATGTTAACCCGGGATAACTGTTGCTTTACTCATGATGTTAACCTGGGATAACTGTTGCTTTCTCAAGATGTTTACCCAGGATAACTGTTGCTTTACTCATGATGTTAACCCGGGATAACTGTTGCTTTCTCAAAATGTTAACCCGGGATAACTGTTGCTTTCTCAAGATGTTAACCCAGGATAACTGTTGCTTTACTCATGATGTTAACCCGGGATAACTGTTGCTTAACTCATGATGTTAACCCAGGATAACTGTTGCTTTACTCATGATGTTAACCCGGGATAACTGTTGCTTAACTCATGATGTTAACCCAGGATAACTGTTGCTTTACTCATGATGTTAACCCGGGATAACTGTTGCTTTACTCATGATGTTAACCCGGGATAACTGTCGCTTTACTCATGATGTTAACCCAGGATAACTGTTGCTTTACTCATGATGTTAACCCGGGATAACTGTCGCTTTACTCATGATGTTAACCTGGGATAACTGTCGCTTTCTCAAGATGTTAACCCAGGATAACTGTTGCTTTACTCATGATGTTGACCCGGGATAACTGTCGCTTTCTCAAGATGTTGACCCGGGATAACTGTTGCTTTCTCAAGATGTTAACCCGGGATAACTGTCGCTTTCTCAAGATGTTAACCCGGGATAACTGTCGCTTTCTCAAGATGTTAACCCGGGATAACTGTCGCTTTCTCAAGATGTTAACCCGGGATAACTGTCGCTTTCTCAAGATGTTAATCCGGCATAACTGTCGCTTTCTCAAGATGTTCACCCGGGATAACTGTTGCTTTCTCAAGATGTTAACCCAGGATAACTGTTGCTTTACTCATGATGTTAACCCAGGATAACTGTCGCTTTCTCAAGATGTTAATCCGGCATAACTGTCGCTTTCTCAAGATGTTAACCCGGGATAACTGTCGCTTTCTCAAGATGTTAATCCGGCATAACTGTCGCTTTCTCAAGATGTTCACCCGGGATAACTGTTGCTTTCTCAAGATGTTAACCCGGGATAACTGTCGCTTTACTCATGATGTTAACCCGGGATAACTGTCGCTTTACTCATGATGTTAACCCGGGATAGCGCCGCCAACCAGTCATGCTAACTAGTTCTTCAGCAAATCAACAGACACTTTGCAAACATCGCGAGAATTCACGGAGCGCTCTTGGCGCTTTTTTTTCTAACGGTTTGGAGGTTCTCACAGACAGACTTGAGGGGACAGGATGATGTGAGTAAAATATCAAATTCATATTTCTAGTTGAGTCAGCCTGCTAGAGAAATTATACTTGTCTTATAATAATGTTTTTAATTACTTTGTTTGCTGTTTTTATTTTCTGAATGTGTGATTTTGACAAGCTAAGTTAGCTAGCACGAGCCTGTAGCATGACGGCTAGCTAACTACGTGACCTGCTCTGGTCAATGATTTGAAATTCAGTCATATATTTGTAATTTTCCAGTAATAATTGCAGATAAAATCAGTGCTGCCTAATGTTAATATTAGGGGTGTTTTACACTCGCTGTTATCCTGTATTCTCAGTCTGACACATAGAAATATAACGTTAGCTCTGTGTTTTAAAGATACATTCACAAATGATATCAGTTATAGGTCGCAGCACATTCACAGCCTGACTTCACATACACACAGTTTAAACTTGATTTACCTCACTGTTTTCTTCAGTACCATGACTGTGATTTGATCTGACACGTTTGAATATTTTTCTATTTGAAAAGAAGAAAATTTAAGATTCTAATGTTAAAGAATTTTTGTTGCATGCGTGACTCAAAGTTATTATAATGTGACAGTATTAAAAATGTACAGTGTGCACCGCTGGACAAAAAGGCTCAGACAATTTTACATCTCTAACCTGTTATTGTACATCCCTCATAAGAGACAAAGAGAGAGAGAGTCTGTGTCAGTCTATAGTAGTCTGTAACAGTCTATGGTAGTCTGTAACAGTCTATGGTAGTCTGTAACAGTCTATGGTAGTCTGTGACAGTCTATGGTAGTCTGTAACAGTCTATAATAGTCTGTGACAGTCTATGGTAGTCTGTAACAGTCTATGGTAGTCTGTGACAGTCTATGGTAGTCTGTAACAGTCTATAATAGTCTGTGACAGTCTATGGTAGTCTGTAACAGTCTATGGTAGTCTGTGATAGTCTATGGTAGTCTGTGTGATAGTCTATGGTAATCTATGAAGGTCTATCGTAGTCTGTAACAGTCTATGGTAGTCTGTGATAGTCGATGGTAGTCTTTGATAGTCTATGGTAGTCTGTGACAGTCTATAGTAGTCTGTGATAGTCTATGGTAGTCTGACAGTCTATGGTAGTCTGTGTCAGTCTATGGTGGTCTGTGACAGTCTATGGTAGTCTGTAACAGTCTATGGTAGTCTGTGATAGTCTATAGTAGTCTGTGACAGTCTATGGTAGTCTGTGACAGTCTATGGTAGTCTGTAACAGTCTATGGTAGTCTGTGACAGTCTATGGTAGTCTGTAACAGTCTATGGTAGTCTGTAACAGTCTATGGTAGTCTGTGACAGTCTATGTTAGTCTGTAACAGTCTATAATAGTCTGTGACAGTCTATGGTAGTCTGTAACAGTCTATGGTAGTCTGTGACAGTCTATGGTAGTCTGTAACAGTCTATAATAGTCTGTGACAGTCTATGGTAGTCTGTAACAGTCTATGGTAGTCTGTGATAGTCTATGGTAGTCTGTGTGATAGTCTATGGTAATCTATGAAGGTCTATCGTAGTCTGTAACAGTCTATGGTAGTCTGTGATAGTCGATGGTAGTCTTTGATAGTCTATGGTAGTCTGTGACAGTCTATAGTAGTCTGTGATAGTCTATGGTAGTCTGACAGTCTATGGTAGTCTGTGTCAGTCTATGGTGGTCTGTGACAGTCTATGGTAGTCTGTAACAGTCTATGGTAGTCTGTGATAGTCTATAGTAGTCTGTGACAGTCTATGGTAGTCTGTGACAGTCTATGGTAGTCTGTGATAGTCTATGGTAATCTGTGATAGTCTATGGTAGTCTGTGAAAGTCTATGGTAGTCTGTGACAGTCTATGGTAGTCTGTGATAGTCTATAGTAGTCTGTGACAGTCTATGGTAGTCTGTCACAGTCTATGGTAGTCTGTGACAGTCTATGGTAGTCTGTGATAGTCTATAGTAGTCTGTGACAGTCTATGGTAGTCTGTGACAGTCTATGGTAGTCTGTGACAGTCTATGGTAGTCTGTGATACTCTATGGTAATCTGTGATAGTCTATGGTAGTCTGTGAAAGTCTATGGTAGTCTGTGACAGTCTATGGTAGTCTGTGATACTCTATGGTAATCTGTGATAGTCTATGGTAGTCTGTGAAAGTCTATGGTAGTCTGTGACAGTCTATGGTAGTCTGTGATAGTCTATAGTAGTCTGTGACAGTCTATGGTAGTCTGTCACAGTCTATGGTAGTCTGTGATAGTCTATGGTGGTCTGTGACAGTCTATAGTAGTCTGTGACAGTCTATAGTAGTCTGTGACAGTCTATGGTAGTCTGTGACAGTCTATGGTAGTCTATGTTAGTCTGTGACATTCTATGGTAGTCTGTATCAGTCTATGGTAGTCTGTGACAGTCTATGGTAGCCTATAGTAGTCTGTGACAGTCTATGGTAGTCTGTATCAGTCTATGGTAGTCTGTGACAGTCTATGGTAGCCTATAGTAGTCTGTGACAGTCTATGGTAGTCTATGATAGTCTGTGACAGTCTATGGTAGTCAATGGTAGTCTATGATAGTCTGTGACAGTCTATGGTAGTCAATGGTAGTCTGTGACAGTCTATAATAGTCTGTGACAGTCTATGGTAGTCTGTAACAGTCTATGGTAGTCTGTGATAGTCTATGGTAGTCTGTGACAGTCTATAATAGTCTGTGACAGTCTATGGTAGTCTGTAACAGTCTATGGTAGTCTGTGACAGTCTATGGTAGTCTGTAACAGTCTATAATAGTCTGTGACAGTCTATGGTAGTCTGTAACAGTCTATGGTAGTCTGTGACAGTCTATGGTAGTCTGTAACAGTCTATAATAGTCTGTGACAGTCTATGGTAGTCTGTAACAGTCTATGGTAGTCTGTGATAGTCTATGGTAGTCTGTGTGATAGTCTATGGTAATCTATGAAGGTCTATCGTAGTCTGTAACAGTCTATGGTAGTCTGTGATAGTCGATGGTAGTCTTTGATAGTCTATGGTAGTCTGTGACAGTCTATAGTAGTCTGTGATAGTCGATGGTAGTCTATGGTAGTCTGTGACAGTCTATGGTAGCCTATGGTAGTCTGTGACAGTCTATGGTAGTCTATGATAGTCTGTGACAGTCTATGGTAGTCAATGGTAGTCTATGATAGTCTGTGACAGTCTATGGTAGTCAATGGTAGTCTGTGACAGTCTATAATAGTCTGTGACAGTCTATGGTAGTCTGTAACAGTCTATGGTAGTCTGTGATAGTCTATGGTAGTCTGTGACAGTCTATAATAGTCTGTGACAGTCTATGGTAGTCTGTAACAGTCTATGGTAGTCTGTGATAGTCTATGGTAGTCTGTGTGATAGTCTATGGTAATCTATGAAGGTCTATCGTAGTCTGTAACAGTCTATGGTAGTCTGTGATAGTCGATGGTAGTCTTTGATAGTCTATAGTAGTCTGTGACAGTCTATGGTAGTCTGTCACAGTCTATGGTAGTCTGTGATAGTCTATGGTGGTCTGTGACAGTCTATAGTAGTCTGACAGTCTATGGTAGTCAATGGTAGTCTGTGACAGTCTATGGTAGTCTGTGACAGTCAATGATAGTATGTAACAGTCTATAGTAGTCTGTGATACTCTATGGTAGTATTTGTCAGTCTATGGTGGTCTGTGACAGTCTATGGTAGTCTGCGGGAGTCTATAGTAGTCTTTGATCGTCTATGGTAGTCTGTGTCTCCTGCAAAACTCAGGAGATTACCCGGAGGGCTATCGTGCAGAGCCGAATTTTTGCTCAGACTTCACCCAGAGTTTCTCCTGCCAGACCCCTGGTATTTTTTCTGCAGCAAGTCAGAGTGGCCGATTTCCCGGAGAATTCACCTCGAGCCAATAGGAGGGAGAGTGACGTTTTACGGATTCTTATGCACGGTGCCTGCACACGACTACTATGACCTCCGTGCTCTAATTAAACGGCTGCATTATGTTTTCTGTTCTTCAGTATGTTGTTCTCCTCTCTTTTGTGGAAGTTGTCATTCCATTGGACTACACATAGCATTGATATAAAGGCAAATATTCTCATCATAGCGTCGTGTAGCGGATGCTGTTGCTTTGTCCACACGTCACCTTACCTGCTTTGTAGTGGGACCATCAGAAGTAACTAATCCCATTCATACGCTGCAGACGAAGCTGAGGGAGCAATTAGGGGTTAAGTGTCTTGCCCAAGGTCACATCAGACATGTTGCTGCAACTGGGGATTGAACCCTTGACCTTCTGGTTGTAAGCCTACGACTTTACCAACTGAGCCAATGCGTTACATTGCTAAAACGTTGAGATTCGTGACCTTGCGATTCATGACGTCATGATCCGGTATGTTGCGATGCGTTGTGTTGAAATATGGTTTGTTGTGATCAGTTACGCTGCGATACGTTGTGATATGTGGTGTGGTGATATGTTATGTTGTGAGCCGTTGGGTTGCAGTCAACAGAAACCATTTCCTCCCAGGCTCCCCTCCTTGCTCTGTCAGAGCCGAACCAAAGTGAACAGGTGAGTGAGATCCTTATAATCAGTCATCACTGTGAACACGCCGACCACCGATAACAACAGGACAGTAAACAACTCAGTCAAACAACATGTCAGTTATAAATGTGTTTCCTTCACTCAGTTGTTGACCACTGTGGGCTCGTCATTTTGATGCTTAATAAGTTACTGTAGGACTGTTTTCTCTCATGTAAGGGTTAATAGTTCCTACGTGAGAAGGGTATGTCTGCTGTGTCGGGGGCCATGATGTAATACAAATGTCTACCAGCAGGTGTCACGGTTTCCATTTGTGTAATCAGGTCAGATCATCACATTTAAATCTGTTTATCCGTCTGAGGAGTTCTGTTCTCGTGTGTTTGTAACTCAGACTGTTTCTGTTAAAATATGGACATTTGGGGCGCTGGTGGCGCAGTGGTTAGTGCGCGCGCCCCATGCATGGAGGCTGTCGTCTCAAGCGGGCGGCCTGGTTGACAGCCCACCTGTGGCTTCCTTCTCGCATGTCTTTCACCTCTCTCTCTCCCTGATTTCCGGCTCTATCCACTGTCCTATCTCTCCATTAAAGGCATAAAAAAGCCCAAAAATAAATCTTAAAAAAAAAAAAAATGATCCAATGAGTGCTGTGATTTAAATTGATCCTGTATAGTGACTGCAGACATTTATGACCTGCTCCTTTAATGTACCAGTGCCTCATAGTGTTTTATTTGTTATTACAGACTGATGACGATACTGAAAGTTGAAATATTACTGGACCCAAAGGCAGTTTAAAGTAAGTAAAGTTTATTTATCCTTTTTACAGACAACGTGCTTCACATCAACAAAATACAACATACAGTAGAATAAAAACAGAAATAAACAAATAGTTCATGAACAACATTATAAAATCCTGCTATGACCAGGAGCAATAATTGGCACAGTAAAACAGATCAGTAGGTAGACTGGGTGGACCTGATCACCCATAGGCCGGTCTAAACATCAATGTTTTCAGCTGCAGTTTGAAAGACTCAAGAGAGTCAGAAGAACATAAAGAGATGGGCAGGGAATTCCAAAGATTAGTGCCATGGCCTCAAACACACAATAACCAAGAGTTTAAAAATGTGTCTGTTGGACAGACGGCAGGTGAGGGAGTGATGTCATCACGATACAATCAGTCAGTTGATCTTTATTTATATAGCACCAGTTCACCAGCAGCGCTGTGAATGATTGTTGACTTTTAACATCCGTGTACATCAGTGATCATCAAATGGTGGCCCACGGGACACATCCGGCCCTGCAAAGCTTCCCATCAGGCCCCCAGAATATAACAAATTGTACATATGAGGGATGTTAATGATTAATCGCTGTTAAGAATTTAACAGATTAAAAATGTATTAACTGACAAGCCGCCTGTGCACCTCACATTGCCTCACATCCTGGTCAAAAAGTTACACTTGAACACACCGCAAAGACTACAGTGTGTGCCCATGATGACAATAATTATTCAGAGTTATTTTGTTTTGTTCCAGACTGAAAACATGTTAATTTATGCTGTAAAAACAGCTTTTTCCACCTGTTTAGTGTAGTATGTGACTTCCTCTGCTTCTGGAGTCAGCATCAAGGGACACTCAACAAACTGCAGGATTTTGCACTGTAATAATGTGACTTCTACTCATTTGACCATTTTCTTAAAAACAACGCTGTGACAATAAGTGACAGAGACATACACTCCCGCCACGGAACAGAATTGCGCTGCAGACAACGCCTGGTGCTGAAGTGAAGCACTGTCAGAGCAGCGACAGGTATCACCAGAATCAACTCCTCTCCAGCTGTTTTTTCTTAAAAAAAAACAGTTAATTTTAACAAACCTGTACAGTATGATTTTGCTAAAGAGAGAGAGACAGAGAGACAGAGACTTTTACTAAAATGTCTACAGCGATGCATCAACTACAGATTTGGCATCTTTTTGATTTTCTGTATGTAGTCTACATTATTCTTAAACAGACAAAGGAAATGATCTGTGAAAGTCATGTTGATCGATCAGACTCAAAGTGTGAGCTTTGATTTGCATCCCTCACGAAGATTGCCAGAATCAGTTTTGTAAGACGAGGATGAAAATGATTTCATCTGGACGGCAGCTCTTTAATGGTTCACTGCAGTGACGACTGGTATTCCAGAAGATGTGAGTTTTTAATGGTTTTTGTCGAGAGGAGGAGACTATCACTCCTACAGAGAACACAGAGACACTGAAGAACCAGGCGACCACATTGTAAACCCAGGATACAGAGGTTCAGTGAAGGTGGTGTTGAAGGTGTAGAGGTGGATAAGGGTGTTCAAGAAGACTCTGTAGAAGGACAGAGAGCCAGCATGACAGTCCACATACACTGCTACTCTGTTAGAGACAGAGGAGGAGGAGGAGAGAGGGAGAGCTGTTTTACTGCCATTGTGACGGACAGAGAAACCTTCATCACAGCAGGTCAGACTCCAGGACTGATCGTTCCATCCAAACAAACAGTCATCACTGTTTCCTTTCCTTTTGATTCCTCTGTAAGACACTGATATATAAACATCTCCTCTCCAATCAACCTCCCAGTAACAGCGACCAGTCAGACCATTTCTACACAGCAGCTGAGGCCATTTGTAAAATCTGTCTGGATGATCAGGGTATGACTGATCCTCTGTCACACGTGTCACCTCCCTGTTGTTGTCAGACAGTTTGAGGTTTCTGTGTGCTGTGTTTGGATCCAGTGTGAGTTCACAGAAATCTGACGGAGATAAAAAGACACAAAGCAGGAGTTTATCATCAGACACACCTGAAGGTTTCATTCTTTGTCACCTGACAGTCAGCTGTTTGGTCATCATGAGTCAAACTGATTCCACACTTACACTTCTTCAGGCCAGGTTTTAACCTCTGCTCTCCACCATGGTCCATCCTGGAGGAAGAAACACAGTTAGAGTGATTATCTGTCCAACATGAGTCCTAACTGCTGTTCAACATGTTCAAGAATATATTTTTTAGATTTTTTATTATTTTTTGGCATTCACTAAAGATGAGTTCATAAATCTGTGGAACATGGAAATAATTAAATGTACCACAATACAGAAGAAAACAATGATATTTATATTTTATTTTAAAATGTTTTTGAGATTACTCACATATATTCACATTTTTAATATCGCTGTTCAGGGTTATAGAAACCTTGACAAGGGTTATTCTACTAACCCAGGGATCAGTGCATTAATATACAGAGTTGTCATGAAGGGTTAGGTTTCCTTGTGGTTCTTTATCCTAGTGTTGCTTGTTTCCCTTGTGCGTTTTTGTCTTAATGTTTCATAGTTTAGTCTTTAGTGTTCTTGTGTGTTTTTGCTACTTTCTTGTGTCTTCAGTGTTTCATAATTTAGTCTGTAGTTCTCCTCAGTGTTTCTTGTATTTTATTCCTGCCTCTGTGTGTGCCCCTGATTGTCCTCACCTGTGTCTTGTTAGTCTCACCTGTGTCCGATTACCCCATGTCTATTTAGTCTCTGCTGACCCCTGCGCCCTTGTCTGAGGACCTGGCGACTCCTGCGCCCTCATCAGAGGCCCTGCTGACTCCTGCTCCCTCGTCAGGCATCAAATGTTTCCAAATCAACAGACTTGAATTTATCCTTCAGCGTTGATCACTGCAGTCTGATCAGCTCCGTGTGGCGTGCACGTTCTTCAACTAAGTACACTCAGTTGAACGACTTTTGATATGAGTCTGGCAGTCCGTTCTTCTACGTGTCCGCAATATCGTAATCTAACTCTGTCACTGACTTTTCATGCGCCGTGAATCTGTGCATAATTCAAGGAATCATTTTAGCGCTGCTCCATGGTTAAACCAGCGGACCTCTGTATGATCGGGCAGCCTGTTTGTGATATCGTTTTCAGATAAGAAGGAAATGTTTAGTAATAGTGAAATTTTTACAGTCAGATGAGAGCTGGTGATAAAGGCACAACAGCAGGCTACTGCATTTAGAAGTGATGTCGCGCTGAAACACTTTAACCTCTGGGTGAACTAAAAATGAACCAAATGTAAATAAAAAATATTAAATTTAAATGACTGTTTTTACAATAATCAGAGGTAAAATAAGTCGGGAGATGCCAGAGCTCAACACCGGTGTCTGTAACCTTCACTTAGTCTGGATGTGTGGAGACGGTCTGGGCCGTTACGCATGACGGAAAGGGGTGTTTCTTTCAGTCCAGTTAGTATCAGCATTTTACCCTTTTATGTTGCTATACTTATTATTATTTATTTAAAATATTTCTTTTAAGAAAAAGATCTCATAAAAATATTTTTCACAAATGTAGAGCGCACGAACTGCTCCTGCTTTTCGTTAATCAGTAAACAGGCTGAACAAAAAGAGAGAGGTGGCACAGAATACAGGTAGGAGAGATAGAAGGCGCTGTATTTCTTTAGCCGAATTTGCTCATAAATTGGCAGAAGTGTATCAGAGCTACGGGACTTAACCACATGACCTCAGCAGTTACCATTTTCACATACTCACCACAGCTCATGAATGTAAACTTAATAATCTTGACATTAAGAAAATCAGTTTAATACACATTAGATGGAGTGCTCCTGTTATCTGTTTATACCTGAGAGTGTCCAGTCTCCAGAGTGGATCCTCCAGTCCAGCCAGCAGGAACTTCTCTCCTGAGTCTCCTGGATGATTGTAGCTCAGGTCCAGCTCTCTGAGGTGGGAGGGGTTGGCCCTCAGAGCTGAGGCCAGAGAGGAACAGCCTTCCTCTGTGATCAGACAGCCTGACAGACTAGAGTTTAAAAACATGGTTAGCTAAATCATATCAGTGTAAAAATCCCACAGAAGTTGGGAATCTTCGCTTGTTATGACCTAAAGGTACGAAGAATTTAAACTATGTCTGTGTGATATACATTTAAGCATCACTATGGCGATGCCAATGTGTGCATATATGCAATAGTGTTTGTAGGATGTGTGGTCTTTAAACATGAAACTGAAACTCATCGTGATTGAAATTTAATGACGCTTGATGCAAAAACAAAAACTGGACAGTTTCTTGCTTTCAATGAAATTTTATAAAATTATGTATGTTATCCCATTAGAGCAGCTATTTATCAGAGTACACAGTGAACTGATGCTGTGGATGATAAAGTCTGTGAGTCACCTGCCAAGAAACATGCAATACTGCTGCCATACATGATAACAGGTGTATGATGGAGGAAGCTTTTGAGTATGTATATTCAGTTTATATAGTTAAAGATCATCTGAGCTGAGGACCATATCCTAACATGGCTCTGTAGCCAATGAAGTCTTTAGAGTTGTGTAAGCTGACAGGTAGAAGGAGATGGTGAGTATTGTTTCAAACTGTTTCAGTCAGCGGGTTAATCACTCAAATTAAACTTGCATTTGAACGTCATTAAAAATGGTTGATGATGAATGAAGTCCAAGATTAAAAACCGGAATTACATTTCTATAATAATCAATCACAAACATTTCATTAACATTGAAATATACAGTATATTACAAACAAAAACAATCACTGAAGCCCTGATTAAGACAAGTGTTAAACAAACAACGGATACTGACCTGAGAGTCTCCAGTCTACATTGTGGAGTTTCTAGTCCAGCAGACAACAACTGCACCCCTGAATCCTGTAGGTCGTTGTTACTCAGGTCCAGCTCTCTCAGACTGGAGGACTGGGAACTGAGGACTGAAGACAAAGCTTCACAGCTTCTCTCTGAGAGGTTACAGCCACTCAACCTGAGGAAGAATGAGTGATGAGCAAAAACAAAATATTTCATTCGTCATGAACATATAAATAAATATTTAATTAATCCACCTACAGAGCTTTGTTGGAGGCTTTGACCACAGGCAGCAGCCTCAGAAGAGCCTCCTCTGAAGCAGAGTATTTCTTCAGGTCAAATTCATCCAGTTCTTTTTCTGATGACAGTAAGATGAAGACCAGAGCTGACCACTGAGCAGGAGACAGTTTATCTGTGGAGAGAAGTCCTGAACTCAGGGACTGTTGGATCTCCTCCACTAGAGAACGATCATTCAGTTCATTCAGACAGTGGAACAGATTGATGCTTTTCTCTGCAGATAGATCCTCACTGATCTTCTTCTTGATGTACTGGACTGTTTCCTGATTGGTCTGTGAGCCACTTACTGTTTGTGTCAGAAGACCTCTCAGGAGATTCTGATTGGTCTCTAGAGAAAGACCAAGGAGGAAGCGAAGGAACAAGTCCAGGTGTCCATTTGGACTCTGTAAGGCCTGGTCCACAGCACTCTGGTGGAGATGTTTTAGTTTATGTCTGTCTCCAAAGATTTGAGACATCCTGGATGTTTTTTCTTCTGACATTAGATTGACTCCAGAGTTGTTGAAGGTCAGATAGACATGAAGAGCAGCCAGAAACTCCTGAACACTCAGATGGATGAAGCAGAACACTTTGGTCTGGTACAGTCCGCTCTCCTCTTTAAAGATCTGTGTGAACAGTCCTGAGTACACTGAGGCTGCTCTGATATCAATGCCACACTCTGTCAGGTCTGAGTCATAGAAGATCAGGTTTCCTTTCTGCAGCTGCTCAAAAGCCAGTTTTCCCAGAGACTCAATCATCTTCCTGCTCTCTGGACTCCAGTGTGGATCTGTCTCAGCTCCTCCATCATACTTGATGTTCTTCAGTTTGGACTGAACCACCAGGAAGTGGATGTACATCTCAGTCAGGGTCTTTGGCAGCTCTCCTCCCTCTCTGGTCTTCAGCACATCCTCCAGAACTGTAGCAGTGATCCAGCAGAAGACTGGGATGTGGCACATGATGTGGAGGCTTCTGGATGTCTTGATGTGGGAGATGATTCTGTTGGCCTGCTCCTTATCTCTGAACCTCTTCCTGAAGTACTTCTTCTTCTGTGGGTCAGTGAACCCTCTGACCTCTGTCACCATGTCAACACACTCAGGAGGGATCTGATTGGCTGCTGCAGGTCGTGTGGTTATCCAGAGGTGAGCAGAGGGAAGCAGTTTCCCCCTGATGAGGTTTGTCAGCAGCACATCCACTGAGGTGGACTCTGTGACATCAGTCAGGGTCTGGTTGTTTTTAAAGTCCAGAGGAAGTCGACACTCATCCAGACCATCAAAGATGAACACAACCTGGAACTCTTCAAACCTGCAGATTCCTGCTTCTTTGGTTTCAGGAAAGAAGTGATGAACAAGTTCCACCAAGCTGAACTTTTTCTCTTTCAGCACATTCAGCTCTCTGAAAGTGAATGGAAATGTGAACTGTATGTCCTGGTTGGCTTTGTCTTCAGCCCAGTCCAGAGTGAACTTCTGTGTTAAGACTGTTTTCCCGATGCCAGCCACTCCCTTTGTCATCACTGTTCTGATTGGTTCATCTCTTCCAGGTGAGGCTTTAAAGATGTCTTCTTGTCTGATGGTTGTTTCTGGTCTGTCTGGTTTCCTGGATGCTGTTTCAATCTGTCTGACCTCGTGTTCATCATTGACCTCTCCAGTCCCTCCCTCTGTGATGTAGAGCTCTGTGTAGATCTGCTTCAGAAGGGTTGGGTTTCCTGCTTTAGCAATCCCTCAAACACACACTGGAACTTCTCCTTTAGATTAGACTTCAGTTTACATCTGCACTCTGAAGCTACAGCTCCTGAATGAATAAATAAGAGATGTAATTAATCAGCTGCAATCAATCAGAACAATTTAAACTTTGAGACTTCAGCATGGTTTTTCTTTTCTTCTCTCTGAAATCTCTTCAGCCCATCAGTATGAACCGTTTCTCTCAGTTCATAGATCTGATATAAATATGTTCTTCATATTAACAGCTGAGTTTTAAATGTAAACAATGTTGCCTCCATTTCCTCTTTCCATCATGTGAAATCTGTTAAAATCCTCTTACTGCTCTGCAGGCAGTCAGCCAGCTTCTCCTGCTTCATTCTCCTCAGGAAGTGCAGAGTGATCTTCAGAAAAGCCTCTCTGCTGCTCCTCCTCTGCTCCTCCTCCTCACTGTCCAACACCTCCTCATTCTCAGTCTGACTCTCTAAGCATTCTGGGTAATCTGGACTCAGAACTCTCTGGACTCTCTTCAGCTCATTTTTCACATAACTGACAATGTTCTCCTCCAGCAGCTGGAACAGAACATAATTTATATTTTGTAAAATTCTACAATTAATCATCTGTGACAGACAGAAACCTCCTGGTCTGCAGATTACAGCATGAAAATGGATCACAATAGTGGTTCAGTGATGGTCAGTGGACTGTATAATGAAAAGATGTGTGTTTGTTCATTTACACACCATTAATATGGAGTCCAGGCTGGTCTGACCACTGGGAGCCTCAAAGTCCTGCTGATGAACTCTGTGGAGAAAACTCACAGAAGTTTTGCTTTAAGAAATAATTCTGGTAGAAGCACAGCATGAAAAAGTCAGTTTCTGTAGCATGAAGATTTAACCTTCATTAATGGGCGTGTGGAGACCAGGGGTCGAATTTATAACCGTTTCGTACGCACAAAATGGGGCCTCTATAATAGTCAACGTGTGCGCTACCTGTAGTCATTGACAGAGCCGCTCTGTCACAATAATATAAGGCTCAAATGAAAGAGAAATGTTCACAACTCCAGTTAATAGAATGGAACTTGGTGACAGGAGATATTTCAATTAGCTCAGTGCCTTAAGTACAGTATTTAGCACAAAGCTAAACACAAAAGTATAACGTCCAACTTTCAGATCAGATATCCAGTAGATGTCACACTAAAGCATCTCTCAAACCAAAACAAAACTTGCCTCCACTGTCCTCCCCCACCCCTCCCTCAGTAGTCTGGCCAGGTACAGCCGTTGGTAGGACTGATCTTCATTCAGATATGAAGCCCAAAGATGATTTTATTCTAATTTCTTTGAAGTATTTTACTGTTGGTTGGAAAGTCTGGCTGTTCTCCTTGAATTGCACACTTGCGATGAAACTGCTATTTTTTCTCTACAAACAGCATCCCTGAGTGGGCGGGGCCAACTCTATTCTCTCTCGTAGTGGCAGGGTTAACGGTTAGAGAAGGACGGGTTGACGTGAAACAAGAACATGTGTGAAACATGTTTGATCCTCAGAGTGAAATAAACAAGCTGAAGGAAGTGTTGTCCTGTCAGTGTGAACACAGAGCTGAGAACAACAAACCCATAGCTAGCTTGACTTCACTCTCCTTTTAGAAAGCCATTCCTTAAAACAATATATTTAGTGAGGGTACATTTGATATCTGCTTGAAAAATTATTAAATATTTTTATATTGTACCTTTAACAACAAGCTAACTAGCTAAACAGCTAACACGCATTTGTCCCCTAATCAACATTAGTTGGCCACGTTTACTGAATAGTAGATGGGATGTGAGATCTTCTTGATGTGATCCATAGTGTTGAAGCAGTGTTCTGTCTGCAGTGTCCTCCTGTGGTGTTCAGAGGTACTGCAGGACTCTGTGTCAGAAGTCATTGTTATAGAAGCAGATGGTGAAAAGAAGACTGTCTTCTTTTATCAGTTTATTTGTCTTCAGTAAAGTTTTTCTTTGACTTTGTTGTACCTTGGGTTAGCTGAGGGGTGCTCATGTTTGAAATGAATGGGTAGATTCATAGACTTGTCACTCTTCATGGACACACAGCTGGGTGCAGGAGAATCTGGAGTCTTTGGATGGATCCTGATTGAAACAAAGAATAGAGTAGACAAGATTAGTTTAAAACTTAAATCTTGAAGATTGTGGAGTTTCTTTTGTGGACAATTCCTGACATCATCATGATTGGAAAGGCTGTCAAGTGTGGCCGCAACGCCCTTTATTGGCGAAGTGCACACTACGCCTTAAAAGGCAGGAAGGCACATGAGTGCAGTGAGTAAACGAGCACAGCAGGAGGTTCATCGACAGAACTAAGAGCAGAGTGGATTTACTCACCAAATGGTGTCAGTTGTGTGCTGTATCTCTGCATTCATGTTCTAGTTATTTGGCTGTTTAAGTTATGCTGAGCTAAGCTAACAAGCACATTACCTGCTAATGCTAGTTTAGCCATTGCATTCTGTGAATTAAGGAGCTTGAACTGTGTTAACAGCGATAAATGCATTCTTTTGAGTGGAATTATGTTTATGTTGTAACTTAAAATGCAGAGTGTATCTTCTTCTGGTGTAGTTGTAAGGTAGTTCATAAAAGCTCCTGTATTTACTGGTGTGATGTCACAGCCATGTATGTTTAAGATATTTTGCTACTTTGTTTGATGATGGTATGTGGCATCCTTTTGTTTTCTCATCCAGACCACACACATACAGTGCTTCACAAATGTATTAGACCACCTGTCAGAAAAACTAGAAAACATAAATATTTTAGAAATCTTTCAAAAATGTATTAAAAACCAAACATGTTATTGTTTATCTGGCAAATAAACTGAAACAACTAAATAGTTATTTTTTTCACACAAAATAACCACAAATCTTAATATTTAGTATGGCCTCCTTTACAACCTCCGTGGTTCCGGAAAGTCGCTACATTCCTGAAACATTTTCTTCTGGACAAGGATTGTGAGGAGAGCAAATAAAACGTGATGTATTTTTTGGTTTGTTGTAGTTACATTGCTGGGATCAAATATGGTCAGCCTGAAGCAGAAAGCTGAATAGTGGAAGGGATGTGAGATAATGTTGATGTGATCCATAGTGTTACTGTAAGTTCAGAGGGTCAGTGTTCGTCCTGCAGTGCCCTCCTATGGTGTTCAGAGGTACTGCAGGACTCACAGTCAGTCAGAAAATAAGTTTGTCTCTTTTCTGTAAAGTTTTCATTTCTAAAAAGAGGTTAAAGAAATGAGAAATGTTCAAGCCCGTCTGTGTTGTCAAAAGATTTAAGTTAGTTAAGGAGATGTATAACAAGCAAATGGAGGCTATGACTTTGTTGTACCTTGGGTTAGCTGAGGGGTGCTCATGTTTGAAATGAATGGGTAGATTCATAGACTTGTCACTCTTCATGGACACACAGCTGGGCTCAGGAGAATCTGGAGTCTTTGGATGGATCCTGATTGAAACAGAATAGATTAGACAAGATTAGTTTAAAACTTAAACATTGGACTTCAATACAACACACCCAGAGCTCCTAATGTGAAACATGATGGTGGAATGACTTCAACCAAGTTCAGATTCTAATATAAAGAATTATAAAAATGTTCTAAATATGAGGTGAAATTGAGATTTACACAGAAACGAGTTCTAATGCTCCCTAGAGGTCAAACTTTAGTTTGAACTCTTCTTTTAAAAGTTTATTAACAATGTGAAAACCCTACATTACATTCTTCCATTTTTTTGGCATGCTGTTGTCCATCTTTGAAATCATGAGATTCTTTCGGTGGAGGTTCATCTTCATGTCCAGGTTGAGCGGAGTGTGGTCTGTTCTGCTGCTTTGGACTTCAACACACAGAGAGAGAGAGCATCGATTGTGAATAATGAAGCTGTAGTTATATTTTGCTTGTTTGTTTATTTAACAACTAATATCAAACAACACAAACTGAAAACTGTCTTATACATACAGTAGCTCAACATACGTTTTTTTTTCACTTATAATTTAGTAGTACCCATCAACTAGATCACAGGAAAATATATCCTATACAATTTCTTGTGTATAAATACAATCTTAACCTGCCTAATCTCATGCATGAACTTCCTGAAGTGCCTTACAGCAGCTATGATTCTGCACATGTTTCTCACCTTTGGTCAGTTTGGTTGTTCCAAGAATTTTTTACAATCAATAGTAATCCCCAATAACTTCTGTTGCCTGTTCAATAGCTGTACCACCAATAGCTAAGTGTAAACTGGGTGTTTCTTTTAACAAATATGTTGAGCCTAGTACCAAAAATGTTTTCTTTGCTGTATTAATAACCAGTTTCTTGACTGTAACCCATTTTTCAATTAATTTTAATTCCTTGTCCAAGATCATGCAAAGTTCTACGTGTTTGTGCCGATGTATACACTGTAGAATCATCTGCTTATGTTGCAATGGTGGCATGATCTAAAATTAAAGGTAAATAATTTCATTGAAAATAAAAGCCTAAACAACAACAAACAACTTCCTTGTAGCACTCCACAACTCATAGCTCTTACTTCAAAAGAACTACAATTAAAATGTACAGTATCTTCCCTTGGTGAGGTAACTTTTAATCAATGCAACAGCAGGTTCTTCTAAACCATAACAACTCAACAATAATAATTAAAGATTTAGTCACTGAGGTTGTAGAGTGCCCCCTTTTACAGTGCTCAAACCATTTTTAGAGATATAAGTCTGAATTTGCTCAGACTATTTTCTCTGTAATTTTACTCCAGGTGGGTAGAAAACTTATTGGTCTACTATGTTTACCAGAGAATGGTTATTTACTATTTATTGCAAGTGGTTATAATTTGAGCTATTTTCCCTTTTGAAGGACAAACTTATTTTTCTGAACTTAAATTGAAATGGGAAGAGCAATCACATCAGCAACTGGTTTCAGTAGTTTCACCAAGGTTGTAAACACCTGAGGGTTGTTCCTCACTTGTCAGCAACAAATGTGTTATTGTACTAATGCCAACATTTTAAAGTTGAAATTTACATGATTTGTTACTCATTTTTTATTTATTAACCTACTAGAAATGTCATTTTCATTTGTCCATGCCATCTTGCAATTTTTAAATGTTATTGTTAAAACATATACTCAAATAATTTGAAAAAATCAATTGTTTTAAAAGAAAAATTCCTTCTGCTTCCAAGAAGGATGTTGTTGATTTAGCTCTTCTTCTGATTAATTCATGTAGGGCATTCCATATTTTACATCTGTCTAATGTGAGTTCTGAGCTCTGATGTGGAGAAGAGTCGTGGACAGTTAGAGATCCTCACCTGGTCTGGTCTTCATGTTCCCCCACAGAGTGGATTTAGAGGGAGGGGCTCCCTCGTCTCTGTCCTCAGACTGATTCATAGCAGAGCCCCAACCTTCTTTATAGTTTGCTTCTGTTTAAAAACTGAAGATGTAAAAGGCAAGTTTATTTATATATCACATTTCAGGAACAAGGGAAAAGAAACATCACAATAGAACATTTAAAAATGTACTTAAATAAACCATTAAGTATCACAGGCAAGATTAATTGTGTATAAAAAAGAAGCTAAAATATAAGAAGAGTTTTATAAAAGAAATTGAAATAATAAGCGTAAACATTACAGTGCAAAGATATAGTTTAAAATCTTTTTTAAATGTATTAAAATTGTTTACTGAAAGGCAGCTGTAAACAGGTGAGTCTTCAACCTGGAGTTTAAAGAAGTGATACTTTAAGCAGATCTGCAGTTTTCTGGGAGTTTGTTCCAGATATAAGGTCACTAATGTATTTTGGGCCTACACTATTCAGCCCTTTATAAACCAGCAGCACTATTCTCTGACAGACTGGGAGCCAGTGAACAGAGCTCAGAACTGGACTGATGTGATCCATTTTCTTGGTTTTGAGGACTCTTGCCTGGTCTGTGGTTTGCACTTTTACTGACTTAAGCTGCGTGCTGACTCTTAGTTGCTCTTCCTTTGCTCCAAAAACAACAACCTCAGTTTGGTCTTTGTTTAGCTGGAGAACATTTTTGCTCGTCCACTCATTGATTTGTTCTATGCATTTACCCAATGTTTGTGTTATGGCTTCAAACAAAACTTCCAGGATTTTGCTGCTGAGCGGGTTTAACACACAAAGTCAACTTGTGAACTTTTTAACAGAAAACTTTCTGCAAAATTTAAACTCCACTAAATAAAATAAACAAATCAGCTCATTATCATCGAGGTGTGGACTCGAGTCACAGATTTGATGAAAGACTTGCTACTCGGCTTGGACTTCAACACCAATGACTCGTGACTTCACTTGGACTTCAGGTTTTAATGTTATTTTAGGTCCCATATATGATTTCAGTGATGCGCAAAACATGGACGGACTCACAGAGTTTTACAATGTAAATATAATTAACTGTGAACAGAATATCGTGGGATTTGCCTCAGCACGGGTGTGATGTATTAAAAAACCCTTCGTTTTCATACCAAGGGTTTTTATAAAAAAATATGATGAGTTTTATGCACATTTGGTGTACATGCAGCTTCACGCTGCTGCTCCTCTTCTGTTGGCATGTTGCAGGCGCGAGTGGACACACACACACACACACACACACACACACACACACACACACACCGGAACGCCAGCCATCCCGCGCGCCAATTTACTTTTAGCTCAACACAGCCCGTGTTCTGTATGGACCTTAATATCCACGGTCGATATGGATCAAGTCTTTATGTTCGGGAAGGTACGGAATCCGGTCAAATGGTGGTTTCGACTTTTCCCTGTTCTCTCTCACCGTGTCTGCATACTGTATTTATCAACAATCAGCACATTAACCCTCAGGCATCAGTTTAATTTATTACCCTCTGAAGTCACTAAGGACAAAAATGTCCACTTCCAAAAAAAAAAATAGAACAGATTGATTTTCTTTCTACTTTTTTCTGCATAAATCTCTTAAACAACTTCAGCCCTGCTCAAAACTACCAAATCTTGAATAATTATCAATCCCAGTTTGATTACATGATTCTGACATTTAAAGGGTTAAATTCCTAAAAATGATTGAATGTTTGGTAGTTTTGAGCAGGGCTGAAGTTATTTAAGAGATTTAAGCAGAAAAAAGTAGAAAGAAAATCTGTTCTATTTTTATATCAGTTTTTTGTAAGTGGACATTTTTGTCCTTAGTGACTTCAGAGGGTAGTAAACATGTTTCTCAGTTCTATTGATCTATTAAAAAAATAAAAGGGAAATTCCAAAATGTGTCAAGACAGAGACTGTCTTACATAAAATGTGTGCCATATGCACTAATATTAGTGACAAGATATTAGTGTTTATAAATTAACAACACATTGCATTGACCTTCAACATTCAATATTTTTTATAACCTATTCATCTGTAACTGTCTCACCTTTATACAGGTACCAACACTCAGATAATAAAATCTGCACCAGTGTCTCAAAGACTCAATTAAAGTAACCTTTGATACTGTAATCTGACATTCAAACTCAGGTGCTGCAGGTTTTCATTGTTTTATGATCCTTAAACTGACTGAGGATAAAACAGGTTTATTTAATACGGTCAGCTCTACTGAGAACTAACAAACACATTTTCATACTTTCACCTTTTGAAGATTAATTACATTCCACTTTACTGTAACACTTAAACGCTCAGGTGTAGTTACTCTGAGTTGAACGTTTGTTTGTAATTTAATGGCTTGTTTGTTATTTTTCTCAAATAATCATAATTTCTGATTAGACAAAAAATGTCACGCCTGTATTACATGTTCATAATGACGAACCTTTTTAGAGGACAAGCTAGGTTCAATGTTTGTCTTTGCAGTGAGACAAACATTTAGCCAGCCTACAATAAATACAATTTAAAAAGAGACTAAAATCAGTAAAAGTCCCATGGACAATAAATAAGCAGTCAGTGGATATTACAGCAGTCAGTGGATATTACATTGATATGTCTGCCCTCTATATATTTAAAATGTTATTAAGGTTGACTGTATAAAGTTTATTGAATAGTGTGCACCCTCAAAAAAAATCTCCGCTATGTAGCCATCTTTTTATCCAGAGCATTGCATGCGTAAATATCAAATCTAAAATAAACTGAAGACCAAATTACACTTTGTGAACTCTACTAAAAAAGACCCCATCGGGGGTCAGACGGGAGCGCTGCCTGGTCACAAGCAGCGGCTGAAAATACCCGCTCGGATGGCACTGATGTTGCGGGTGCCAGCTTTGCTAGTCAGGGAAATCTCTCTGCATTTACTTTCCACTAGTCTGTCGGTTTTGTATCCAAAGGTGGGGGGAATGTGCCACAAAAAGTTATCCACCTCCGTATCCATGCTGATGGTGGGCTGATGCACGGCTGCAGCGCCCAGTGAGACGGTGCGTCTCTGTCGTAACCAGCACCGTAGTCTCTTTGCGTTTCTTAAAAAACTCAGATGTTTGTGTCGAGGGTCCAGCATCGTTACAACATATACAGCCTACTTTGTAAATACACCATTGCACTGATAAAAAGGGGGTTAAAATGAGACACGTTCTTGATATTTCAAATCAGTAAATCGAGTTAATATTTCCACCTCGAGCAAATTCTTAACGACCAATCAATCGATCGTTGATTAACTGTTATCATCCCTAGTGGTTAATGAAAAATGTTGAAGTGTCTGTTTCCTAATTATACATCCTTTAACTGGGTCTACCCCAGGGTCTCCTCCCTGTTGGACATGTCTGGAAAGCCTCCAATAGGAGGAGTCCAGGAGGATCCTAATCAGATACCCGAACCACCTCAACTGGCTCCTTTCCATGTGAAGGAGTAGGGACTCTACTCCGAGCTCTTCACCCTCTCTCTAAGGCTGAGCCCTTCAGAGGAAACTCATTTATCACTTTATTGTGAGCAAACAACATGTTTCCCATGTAGCTTTCTCAGGTTCACAGATTGTTCTCAGGTGGCAGAGGGAGACCAGAGGGAGAGTAACTTAAGTACGTGAACAATTTGTATTTACCGGAAGCCATCTGCAAAGACAGATTTTTATGATCAACTGAAACTTCTTCTGGACTATTGTAACTTAGACAAAGAGTTGATTATCATGGGTGACTTGAATATTAACTGGGATGATAAGAAGGATAGAAAAAATCTCAAGCAAATTGCTGACCAATTTAATCTTCAACAAATAAAACTTAAACAAATAATAGATAAACCCACCAGAATAACTGCTTGTTCCTCAACCAGAATAGACTTATTATTTACAAATCATCCTGAAAGAATAAAAAAAAACCTACAATCTACTAACAGGAATCTCAGATCATAATATGATTTTGTTCTCACAAAAACTCTCAAAAAAAAGATTTCCCAACTCAACACACAACTAGACGTTGTCATGAGTTCATTCCACGAAACCAAATTCCATGTCTGGACGCAGCGCTCAAAGAGAGTGACTGGAGTGAAACTCTCATGAGTGAAAATATAGAAAATGGTTGTGATATAAATAATGTCTCCATTTCTGAGAAAGGGAAAACAAAGAAGGTCTGACCACAGACAGACAGAGATTTACCTTAATTAGAAATAAAGTAATAAGCACAATGTGGAGGGCGAAGGCAAATTTCTTCATGACCATTATTGAAGATGCAAAAGGAAATAACAAAGTTATATGGCAAAATATTAATAAATTAATTGGTAGGCAACCTAAAAATGGCACTGATAATTTTGAAATAAAACTTAACAACATACCTGTGCAAAATCCCTCAACTATAGCCACTGAAATGAACAAATACTTTATGAATTTGGTTAACTAGATAACACAACAGTTTACCCGCCCTAACTGTATACATAACCTTCCTAGTCCCAATCATGCGGCTTTTAAGATAGCGGAAATATCTGAAGTAGAGGTGATGAATATTATTAACTCCCTCAAACGGTCAAAATCCAAAGATGTGTCTGGACTCGACACACATTTTTTAAAATGTATAAAGAATCATTAATCTTACCAATTACACATCTGTTTAATTTATCCTTAGACAAAGTGTAGTGCCCTCAGCGTGGAAGCTGTTATCACCCCAATTTTTAAATCTGGTGATAAAACAGAAATGGCAAATTACTGACCTATCAGTATTCTACCCGTAATCTCCAAAATAGCAGAGAAGTGGGTCGCAAAACAACTGAATATACACTTAAATAATGGCCACACACCCCTGCATCCGATGCAGTTTGGGTTTCGTAACCACCATTCTACAGAGTCTGCAAACTGAATTTTTGTTGAAAAAATCAAAAGCCTTCTTGATAGAAATGCCTGTGTAGGTGTTGTATTTCTGGACCTCAAAAGGCTTTTGATAC